GCCACTTGGGATAGTTTATGATGTCCCAAGTCACCGGTTCAAATCCCGAATCGAGGAAAAGATTGACTCTGTATTACAATCCACGAGCCAGAAATCCGGGTAAGGAATTCTGTTAACCCGGGAGAAGGTGTTAGGCATTTCCGGGTTCCGTGGTTCTAGCACGGTCGCTCAACTATTATTATTGGCCTAATTATCTGATTTTAAAACACTTTCAAACCTATGTGCATTTTTAACCTTAACCGCTTTTAATTATTTTTAAAGAAAGATTTGCAACGTCATTTAAAATATGTCTTGAACCATGTCACATAAATGCACCTGCGGTTCGCAACACATTCTGTATAACATTGTTGAAATTTGAATTTGGGTCACATAAATGCACACCCAAGTTTAGGAAGGTAAATTATTAAATTAACGCGCCTAAAGAAACTATGCATTTGCAACTTTGCGAGGGCCATGAAAATTCGCTAAATGGCACGCCACGATTTCTAAGGATAAAAATATGAATCAAATAACAGTTGTACGATTTAAGATTTTTGTCTACATGGTGCGCCTCGAATTATTCTAACCAACAGGTTTCTAAATTAAATTATGAGGGCCATAGACTATGTGATTCAAATGTATGAATGACACGCCTCAATTGCTTTCAAAGGAATTGCATTTAATTAAAAGAATTACAGACAGTCATATTTAAAACTAAAGAGATTAAGTATCACAACCACGCTGTAGGAACCATGCTCATGGGAACCATACCCACAATAATTTATTATTAATTGTGCCTAAGAGAATAAAAAACTACGATGTTTATGAATAATGTAACAAATAAAGTACGTAGAGGGAATTAAATAAACAAAATAAAACTCAATTCATACTCATGTTCTTTTGTTCAGGTATTTCACCCAAACCCATTTCCTATAATATGTGGAGAAATTAATATCTAACATGTTTGGTCCCTCCCCAACGTGATTACTCATCATCACTTTATTGAAAATGATTCAAATCAATTATAAATTATCCCTCTAGCAAATCACTGTTTTTTTGAACACTATTTCACGAGTTGGCAGCTTTCAAGAAAAATACAAAAAAAGCCAAATACACATTAAATGTTTATTTAATCGCACACTTCTCTAAGTATTCTCTAGGCTCCAAGTCCTTAAACCCCAAGTATGCATTTAGCGTGTGCTAATCAAACCTCACCTTGAGGTTGCGTACTTTGGTCACCTTTTTCCCCTTCTTGATGTGATAAATGTTGGCATAGAACTCGCAGACAAGGTACTCTTTGGCATCAACCAGTCTCTCAGCAAAAAACATCAAACCGTTCCTCGCTCTAAACTGTATCAGAACTCCTGTTTGTATATCTCGAGATCCTTCAATAGAAACTGCCTCTCAAGGGTCAAAGATCACATGGGCCACCATATTCAGAAGTTAGTGAAGGCAGCCAAGCTAACAAATCTATCCTCTTATATATCATTCTTCTTTGATCTCCCCACACTAGTGGATGTACCCTCTCCCCCTCTGCCATCATTAAGAATATACCATACAGTTTGTGCATCTGTGTCTGGAGCCGCTGCTGGCTCAGAAGTCTGGTTGGCATTTTCCGAACCCTCGGAAGTGCTATGAGATTAAGATGCCTTATCTATGAACTAAAATTGCCCCTGCGTCCTAGACTGTGTAACTTCCTACTCTTTCGAAATAGAAGCGGAGTTTCCCTTAAAAGCCTCCCTAGACGGCACATAAGAGCTAGACTCAAAGAGGTTTGCACCCCTCCCTCTGACTGCAGTAGTTTTTTTCCTGATGGTTTTTCGTCAATCAAGGGGAAAGGTACTTCTGCCTCGACACCTAGAAGATTTACCTTTTCCTTTTGTAGTTTTACCACAGTCGCGCGATCGAAAAATTGTCTGTATCAAAGCAAAGAGGATTGTTAGTTTCAAGTCATCATTCAACACATTCAAAACTTATGTAGGCAAGGGAGAATGGTATGGACATAGAGGGTTTACGACAGAAATAATCATGTTGCAAGATTATGGAACTGTTGTACACACATTCTTTATGTGCGGCCACAGACAGGAAGTACGGACTATTGCACCCTATTTTGCATTAATCAAGATAGGATTCAACTTATGGTTTCTTGGTTGTTGATAAAAGAGAGTCTCCACCTAATATTTAAAGTTATACTAGGGTACATATTTAATTACTAAGCTATGTTCATTATAGATCTGCGAACCGGTGAGATTATAGGTAAGGGTTTTGTTCTTCTAAGGGGAAGGTGTTAGACACCACCTAAAATCTACCTGAGATAGCTCCATAGAACTTAGACTAATTTTAAGGAATGAGTTATTTATATTATGCTTAATTATTACAAGGCATGTCTTACTATATACTAAAGGGTATGTATATGAGTAAGACTTAAGAAGGGTGAGGAATTATAAAAGAGTTATTGAAGGTTAAGCGAGTTTTGAAAGTGGTCTATATTTTAAGGCTTGTACTTATTAAGAAAATGATTATCTTTGAAGAACAAATGCTTGTACAATTTTAGAAGATGTACACAAGAAAAAGCGAATCTAAATGTACCTCGGTTTTTCTTAAAATTCTGAAGAAGGTGAGCCTTTGAAAATTCATTTGGGTGATCATTTCGTTATTGTTTTTCATGAAAAATCTGGTTTCATTCCTTGCTAGCAAAAAAATGGTGATTCTTTTCTAATTTCTCTTTGAAAACGGGGTGCTATTTCACTTATGGGGCTGAGCTTCAGAAAATCCTTAAGAAAGGTGAGTATACAAGATGAGCAAGTTATTATTGACCGGACGAAGATTAATTACCAATTAATTCCTCTTAAGTCCTATATTAATTATAGTTTGCACATGTTTCATGTGGTATAAAGCGTGAAGACAATTACACAATCTATTATATGAGTATTGAATACACGAATATGAAATACGATAAGACAACAAAAGCAGTAAGCGAAATATAATAAAAGCAGTAAGCTAAGCTACGGAATTGATGAGAAATAATGAAAGAGGTAAGGGATAGAAGACTGAACTCTAACAATTGGGCCTTAATAAGGTAGGCCCAGCAACTTGAGAGGTGTGGCTACAGCAGACTGGACTCTCCAAAGACGCAGCAAAGCTGGTTTGGGCCTGAGTTCCTTAGGAATTCGATAGGCCCAAATGTATACATGCCCAAAAAAGTAAAAAGAAGTCCATTAGAAGTATTCCCATATTATCAACATATTCAAATATACAAGACAGATATATAGGTAAATAATTGAAACAAAGAATAATTAATACTATAGAAATGATATATATGTGGTGGTTCTACTTAGAGAATAATGCTCCTTGAAAATCTTTTGTTGTCATTAAACATTAAACCCCTAAAGGACTAAATGTGTCGATGAATTAAGAGCTAAGGAGGAAATTCCACTCAAGGCTTCCCTTTGAATCCCCCGACATGTCAAAGTTACCAAGGGACTCAAGGCCCAGGGCAATGCTTGTGCCAGGGAGGACATCCCAACCTAGAGTCGAACTCCACTCCCAAATATCCTGAAACACTAACAACATGTTTTACTTGTGGGTTTAAATGTCAATGAGGCACTTTCAATGCATACTAAATGCTATAGCATTGCCTACCATAAATATATACTTTCCCTCCTAACATAAGAACATATAGTCTATACTGGATTACCAAACAAACATAAATCATATGAATTCTAAATATATGATTCTGAAACACATACAGGTGAGCACCATAAGCATATTACAAAGGTCTAAGTTTAGGGCAGAGCAATATTCCAAGAAAGGCAAATCTATATATCAACGACTCAACATATACAGAGGTTTCAAGGATATTTAGGACACGATCAACTTTCTCAATAGGTCTACAAGTTTACAGATTAAAACATGAAATTCCTAAGGATCTCTACAGAATCATACTCCAAGTAGCTTTAGCTTCAAACAATCATCAAGTTTAGATAACATCAACAAGGATCCTTTTGAGACTTTAAGGGTTAGATTTGGTTTTAAAATTTACAATGGAAAGGAGTCGAGTGGTTCTGGATATGTTATGAAATCAGGAACTAAGAAGATGTAGTGTTCAGTTAACTTACATGAACACATTAAATACAGTAATGATCTCGTGTATATATGGAAAACCTTACACATTTATAGAATTGGACTAAGCATGACATGAGGGGAAAGAGTTACAGATAAAAGGAAGGTATTGCATTGGAACATATTTAACTCAACTTAAGTCTAGGTTAGTACTTGAATATAAAATGATCACGCTCCTATCACTTGGTTAGAGCAGACTAACCAGATCTCTTCTCAAGGGAAGATAGTATTAAGAGATACAATACATGTCCATTTTCATTGATCAATGATAAGCTTAAGGGATCAGAAAAAGGAGGTATGTTATCAAGTAAGTATACAACTGAGGATGTTGACTAATCAAGAAAACAATTAAGTTCAGACTAACAATTTATCAGTCTTTATAACAAATAAAAGAAAAACAGGATCATGAGTATATTATGAGGAAAGATAACTTAGTCTTGACAGATGTGTAAAACAAGACTAATGGTAGAAGAGATGATAGTTTAATTCAAACAAGAGTATATCAACAGAAGCAACAACAAATAAACAAAATAAGAGACCATAGTGTCAAGTCAGAAATAACCTAACAAACACAAGTAGAGAAGAAGACATATAAGCACATAGAGTTTATGCTTAAGGTTAAATGATAGGAGATATAAACTAAAAAACCTTAAGATTATTCTTACCCATGGTTATCAAATAAAAAGCTCAACTCACAAACTACAGAGATGCAATAGATAAAGATAAAGTTTACTTCAGATCAATGAAAAGCTATGAACACATTATAACTTAAACGTGTAAACCGTTGGAAACTCAGAACCAAGATCAAAAAGAATTAATTAACAGTTTAATCAATCATCAATTAGAGGCTCATAGAAACACAACTAATCGCAAGAAGAGATTAAACTGACAGAACATAAACATTAACATACTACACCATAAAACAATTGTAATGCTCAAAATCTAGCTAGCATGCTTGTATCATTCAAACAAAACAAACAAAAGAGAAGAATGATGAGGTGTGCTAACCTTTTTGAGAGCAGTAGACCAAACGAGATCTCTTTTCAGTTGCTTAGGAACACAAAAACTTCAAGTTTAGACCAGCAATTGTACTCATCGAAAGAAAAGAAAAAATAGTAAGAAAACCTAAGGCTTAGAATCCTAAACTTCTTAGTATTTGTGTGTGTATTTCTCTTCAGTGTTAGGTTATAGGTTCTTGATGATAGGTGAGAGCATTAAAGGCTTTTATTTATAGTGACTTTTGAAGGCTCTAGGGTTTCAGTGGATTCAAAATCGAATAGGGGAATATGACGATTACCAGTTGATGTAAGCAAAATCGAGTGGAAATCTATGAGACAGAAGTGAAAATTACGAAAGGTTTTTACTTGAGAGGAGAGAGGGCGATCTTTGAAGGCAAGAACCTTCATATAAAGCTTCAATGTCCAAAAATCATTACATTTGACCTCTAGACCTCGAATAACAACAACTAAATTCTGAGATATAATCATGCATGCTCCGATTTGAAAGAACATAATAGAAACACGACAATTTGAACTTCCGTCTTTGAGTATAGGGTTTGAGGATTTAGATGTTTGAATTTTATGATTGAGAAAGGGAATTTGCAGCAAGATTCACGGAATTTGGAAGGTAAAAGTTAATTTTAGGCTCCAATTTAGACTTATGAGAGCAAATCAAATGATTTATCCTTTGAGCTTAGGGTTTCGGATTTAGGGGTCTTGGATTTGTGATTGAAAAAGGGAACATGAAGCAGGAATCATGGTGTATCAGGAACAGGGGAGATGGTTTACAGGTATTTTGAGTGACTTTGCACAAATTTGTGCAAGGTCTTTGGAGATTGATGGCTGATGGAGAAGAGATAAAAGAGAGGGGAAAGGGAAAGGGAGGTGGCAGGGTGAGGTAGGGAATGATTAGGTTTTTGGGTAGGTTAGGTCCGTCTCTAAGTTTAAATTGGGAGATAGAACGGGAGTCGTTGAATCTATTGATTAACGGCTCCAATTGATTTTATATTAAGGGATTTTACAAATGATTTAATGGAAAAATTAACAGCTGTTGAATCTCTTTGATCGGATGGTTGAGATTAAATCTCTGCACGATTGAAACTTAAAGAGTAAATAGGCTTTAAACGTGGACCGTTGATTTAAGAAATGGACGGCCCAGATGACTTGTGTTTGTTTTGTGTGTTCTGGAGATGGGTGACATGGCGAGCGTTGATTGGTTGAGAAGTGAAAGCAAGGATTGCCAACAGGGATGAGATGGGGTCGCTTGGGTTGGGTATATTTCGGATTGGGCTTGTCATTTGGGCCAAATATAATTTAAAAGATGGCCTTTTTATATTTGATTCAAGAATTACAATTGTGGCCTTTTGGCCTTTTAACCCCTTTGAATTTAATTTAAATAAACTTAATTATTTGAATAAATATAGTAAAAGTTATAATTGTTAAATACTACTAATTATTACAATTAATTGATTATTTGTAAGAGAACTTCATTAGGACATAAAATTTTGAATTATGAAAATAGTAAACTAATTAACTAAAAATTATAAGAAGTGATTTATTGAATTAATTATAGAACCTTCGTATAGGAATTATTTTTTAATAATCCTAAAATAGTAAATATTTTTGTAACAACATAATGTCAATATTGCTTGAGTAATTTTAAAACTAATGCTTGGTTAATTTGAAAAATAGATATTCATTACTGAAGAATACGTTGAAAAAATTTTCTGTAAATTATTAAGTATAAATAAATAATTTATAAGGGGAGGTTCAAAATTGGCCGTCAACACGGGCCGCACAATTGCAAGTGCGGCCGCACTTCAGACAAGCAAACTTCAAAGGCTCAGAAGCCTCTCTCTGAAGACAATGCAGAGGTCATTTTACGGCCGTAAAATAAATCTGTGGTCTGCATATTTTTAGGTGCAGTCCGCACATATTGGTCTCAAAAGGGTAGACCTATAATGGACTTAAGTGCAGCTTTTCTCAGAATACTGCGGTCTGCACATTTTAAGTGCGGCCAAAAAAGCACTTGCCTTCAACAGGTTGTTCAAAACACCAAATTGCGGACCACACATATTCAAGTGTGGCCACAAATTTCAAACTCTACTAACAGGCAGACATTATGCACATAGATTTTGCAATTATTTGTACAAATCAATGTGACAACATGGTATAAACATGAAATATCACTAACTCAACCCCATAGAGCATGCATTAGTTGGTTCATTGTAGTTGTTAACTCAGCTATAGCCTACCCATGATCATGTAATTCCTTGTGCAAATGGGTAACCGTGGGGTCACCCTGGGGCACATTGGCTCTACTTTGCCAAGTGGAAGAAGTGTCAGTCATCTCGTCAAGAATATCACAAGCCTCATCATACGACAGCTTCATGAAGTTTCTCCCAACAAGTTGGTTCACTATGCATTGGTTTGTTGTATTAATGCCCCGGTAGAAGGTTTGTTGAATCATTGCCTCAGTCATGTCATTGTTGGGGCATTCCTTCATCATTATTCTATAATGCTCCCAAATCTTATGTAAAGGTTCCGTGGGCTCTTGCTTGAACGCCAAGATCTCATCTCTCAATGCAGCCATATGGCCCGGTAAGAAAAATTTTGCAATGAAATTGTCCGCCAACTCATCCCAAGTAGTGATGGAATGGTTGGGAAGTCGCTCGAGCCAATCCAATGCCTTCCCTCTAAGTGAGAATGGGAAGAGACTCAACCTAAGAGCATCCTCAGACATATTAGTTTGCTTGATCCCCCAACATGTATCCATGAACCCCTAGAGATATTTGTAAATATTTTGATTTGCAGCGCCCGTGAAGTACCCGCATTGCTCTAGTAAGGTCAACATCATATTGTTTATTTGAGAATTGCCCGCCCGGATTCGGGGTAGGACAATAGCACTTGCATAGCCTTGGTTTGGAAGCACTCTAGGAGCCACTCTTGGAAGTGGTGGAGGAGGATCTGGAATATTGTCATTAACATTAGCATTAGCCTGGTGGCCTCTACGTTGTCCTTGAGGTACAAGAGGCACCTCATCATCTCCGACATCATCTACCTCCTCCCCCTCAATCACATTTCCAAGAGGGTCATTTGCGTTGTTCGCTGCCATTTGGTACCTGAGTTGTGACACAAACAAATTATTGACAAAGAAGGAAAGAAGAACAATACACAAAACTATTTAAATAGATATCCAAAACCGTTAGCTCCCCGGCAACGATGCCAAAAAGTTGATCAAAGCCTACCTTGCACTACTCTTGAGAAGCGAGAGAGGGTCAAATCAGCTTTTACCCGATTTAGGGTCGGGATCAATTTCCATAGAGAGCTAGATGTTGGAGTCGGGTATCTATCTAATTTAGAGTTGGGTATGTGTTCCAAATTACACTTCTAAATATTTTTGGATTTTTGTTTTACTTCTACTTTTATTAAACTTCAATGGTAAATTAAACTAGAATAAGCTAAGAGTAAAATGTTGTGGGTTGTTGAAATGGTTTAAAAGGCACTTGGGTAGTGACTATCGCCTAGGTGGTCAATTGACGGATACTTGAGTCTAAGGCATGATTGACATATTTGGGGAGTATGATATAACTATTGCACGATTTTACCCACTCTACACCTCTCGGTGGTTCAAGTGATTTTGCCCGAATTGACTTTCTCAAGACCAATTGGGTATGCAAATTTGCACAAGCAATCAAGGTTCAAGTCGGGTATTACTCTCTCGAGCTTTAACCCTTTTAATTGGGGCTATCAATCTCTTGAGTACGCCCCAATTCTTTGTTGGACCAACTTTAGAGACTCAA